TCTAACTAAGTAGAACTAGAAACCCATAAGCCACCAAGAAACCCATCCCCTTACCCTGGGATCAACCAACAAGAGCCGGAGTTTCCTCAGGGTTTTCATGGCTACTTGCCATACAAATTGAATGGCGGTGATAAACCCATCCAGTTGACCAACAAAAATCGAATATGGTGATTCCAATGGGGGAAAAGTGGGAAAAGCTTGCGATTTAATCCAGACATCCAGAGGTTTGAGGGCTATCTACCACAACTGCACCACTGGGGTCACCAATGATTTTTGGACTTGATATGAACACATGTTTTTAGGGAGCCAAGAAATCATGAAGGTTATGTGGGCTTGGTTTAAGCCACCAAAACGATCCCATTGATTCTCCGTTGTATCCCCGTTAAATCTCAGTTATAAACTAAGTTATAGATGATTTTCAACCATCAAAAATATCTTTTTGATGGTAAAACACCATTGTATCCCCATTGATAGATGATAAACCCAACACTTTCCCCGCGAAAACACAATTTGTTCATTGGAAAGTTATGCAATATACCATACTTTATGATGCTTTATGAACAATCACCATGTCAAACCTCTATGTTCAACTACATTGTTATATTCATGTCAACTATTTTGGTATATTACATTTAGATACCAAAATAGTTGACATGAATATAGCAATATCATATTGATGTGTATTGGTATATAGACCTTCTATAAACAACATATCCCCATTGAAAGCTCCCCATTGAATCCGCCAAAAACTCGTCGCCCCAGTTGAGCGTCGCGCGCCTGGAAGCAGAAGTGGAAGCGACCTCAGTGCAGGCAATGAAGCGATACGCGATAGATATGGGCTGGTCATGGGTTAATGGGGATTTAATGGTGATTAATGGGGATTGTAATGGGTTAATCATGGTTAATGGTTAATAATGATTAATGGTGATTCTGGTTGGTGGTTTCAAACATTGCTTTTATTGTCCATTTCATATATGGGATGTCATCCTTTCCATTGACGAACTCATATTTTTCTTAAGATGGTTAAAACCACCAACCAGTGGGGATTGGATATGGGAATAGTAATGGGATTTAATTTCATCCATGATATTGCCCTGTTTAATGGGATCTCATGGGAATATCATAGGATTTTCTGGGATTTAATTCTTTGTCATATAGTGACTTATTCATATCTGTTTCACCGATATACATTACAGGAACTGTTGATGGTGGTTGAGCAGTGATATAACCAACAATGATAGGGATTTACCCTCTGGCAATCAAAAATGGCTGGCTGGAAAATCCTGTTTAACTGGAGGTTTAGTTCGCTGGGAAAATCAACGACAAAGATTTCCATTAGCAGGTTGATTACGTTAGCTGATATTGTTATGGGAATTATCAATAGGTACTTATGAACCAATAGTAGGACTTATAGGGACTTTATTTTGGACACTCTTAAAGATGAGACAGACCTGTGGATTTCAACCACGGAATTTCGATCCAAGCATCAAGATATAGTAAGACGGTTGGAGGTGCTCAAGAAATCGATGATCCATACAACAAAGGGGGCGTTCATCCATTGTCAAAATGGGGATGTTCATTGGGGATGTAAACCAAGCACGAAAGCCGGGATGTAACCAATGAACAATGGATGTTAGCAGGATATTTCTCCGGAGATATTTACCAAGGGGTCAACCTTGGACAGGTTTTACCTTGAAAAAAATGCGGTTTAAACCAGAAAACAAAATCAACATATGTCTTTATATTGGTGTTTACCGTGTTTACTACCAAGGTTTTGGGTAATCCACGCAAGTGAGTTGTGTTCAATGTTTGACCATGTGGGGATCAGCTGTCCGGGCGGGTAGTTTTACAAAATTATCTCGGCAAATCAGGTTTTATAGGTGATATAAGTTGATAAAAACAATATTAAATGGGGGATCTTATCCAACTTATAACAGGGAGCCTCTCCTTTTCAGTAAAGATGATCATGACATCAATCTCTGCATCCCACTGGTGGCGCTCTCTATGGGATGTTTGATACATGGATAGTAATGGCTATGAGTCAAAACCCTGGCAGCCTAGGTACACTAAAATAGCTGGCTAATGGATTGTTATTTTGAAATATGGTAACATTAGGTTTTGACCCATCCCCATATGCATACATCTCATAGATCCTACTCTTTCCCAGCGTCCTGTTTTGGGGTTGGCACCCAGTTGCCGACTATGGATCCGAGATTTTTGTGGCTAATCCCAGTAGCCCACAGCACGCCCCAAAAAGATTGAAACATAGTAGTTTACCACTATTAAAGTTGGATTTGACCTTCCTAGATTTTTTAAAACCCGCTATCCTCAACATCCTGGCAGCCGTAACACTGATATCCTGCGGTTCACCTGCCAGGGGAAGCAGGATTCTGAAGGAAAATTGCAGGAGAAAACACATGGGCGGCTGCTCTTGATTTCCAGGCTTTTTGATGGATTCGAACCACGTTGGCTGAAACCACAGGTACATCTTGGCTGAAGCCCTCATTGTGGCTTCAAAACCTCCATGATATGATTTGAGAAACTAGCCCTCAGTTCCTCCAGACAATCTCATACATCTTGATTCGAAATTTTCCTACTCTTCACTGTCATTCTTTCTAGAAAAAAAAGATGTGTTTCCACAATGTTCCCATGGTTTCACCTCATATTTACAATAGATTTCCCAGATTTCCAGTACCATCCCATCCCTTCCTTCGTCCCTTCGAGGACCTGCAACGCCGCTGCGCCGCGTTCGAGCAACGCCTGGAGGCCGCCGAGCAGTGCCGCAAGCGCGCGGAGGAACGCGCCGAGGGCGCCGAGCAACGGCTGCAGGAGACCGAGGAAATGCTGGCGACTGGGGCTGGAGATGGGGATGGGGGTGGAAATAGGGTGAACTATATGCGTTAATAATAGTCAAATATCCCCCCAAAAAATGGGTTAATGGGGATTGTAATGGGTTAATAATTTTTGTTCATAATGATTAATGGTGATTCTGGTTGGTGGTTTGGAACATGGCTGGATCATTTTCCATTTCATATATGGAATGTCATCCTTCCCATTTGACGAACTCATATTTTTCAGAGGGGTTGAAACCACCAACCAGATAGAGTGATACTTAGTGGGGGATATATAACCAACCATGATGGGTTGGGATGGGATGATAGAATATATAGTGATTATTAGTTATAACCAACCAGAACTTGAATAGAGCTAGTATTAGTTGGTTATACCCAGATGGTTCGGATGGGGGTGGTTACGATCGGGATGGCGGAAATGGTTGTGAAATATGGTGGGTGCCGTGAAGTTTATAAACAACCCATCTGGCCAACCATGAATAACCATAACTCTCTGGCCAACTTTGATGATGGGAGGGGATTGGAATATAGAACCAACCGTTACATGATACTACTACGTATATATATATGGATAAATTAAAGTCATCTAGCAATGAGATTTTTTCAAGCAGACCTACTCGGTTGTGATGGTGAAAGTATGGGATGGCCCGATGGCATGCCCTGGCCAGCAGCTCCTAAGGACCAGAAAACCAGCGAACTGGCCCTCCTTCGGAGACAGCTCATGGTCAAGGAGCGATGTCACCAGTGGGTAAGTTGACTCATGGACACTCGCTTCGTAGATTTTTTGCCGGAAATCTAACCTTGGGGAAATCCTCCATGGATTGTTTTCCTTCCCGCCAAACAAGGATATCTCATTGCCAACCGGCAAATGTATGTTGTTCGGTCTCCGGTTTCGGGGCCCACGGTTCCACAGCTGAAATTCTTTTTGGGCGTCCACGGTTCCAGTCGGTTCATCCCGCTCCATTTCCAGTGCGATCTCGCCGTGTAGACTACCAGTCACATGTCTTACCCTCTGGTAAACTAACATAGCTACTGAAAATGGCCATTTATAGTGTATTTACCCATTATAAATGGTGATTTTCCATAGCTATGTTAGTTTACCAGAGGGTAACTTAAAAAACACCAATGCCAACATCCCAAATTCTGTGAGTCAGCCCCTGTAACGGGCGGCACAGCACATGTTCGAATCCCAACGATTTGATCAACGACGGCCATGTTGTTTATATACAATGTCCACGAGTCTACCATCCTCAAGTTTAAAATCCATGTGCATATCCCAACAATGATGGCAATCTTGAAATGATGCTGGCATTTCCAAGAAGTGCCATTAAGATATGTCGGCGAGATGTTCCAAGATGTGATTCCAATTCCAAATCGGCAAACTCTTGTGATCAACTCCATGTTTTTTCGAAAGAAGATTGAAACCCATTCCAAATCATCCAAACAGATGGCGAAAAACGTCTCCAGGAAGTCTCCACTCCCAGATCCTCCAAGATGGTGGCCGCTGTGCTGTGGGGATGATTTTGCGATTTTGGAATGCCCTATAACTGGCTGGTTGGTGGCTTGGAAATATTTTATGTTCCATAAAATATGGGATAATCCGTCCAATTGACTAATATTTTTCAAGCTGGTTAAAACCACCAACCAGCTGGTTTTTGGGCGGGAAAATGGTTGAAAAGGCATCAGAGAACAGAATCATTGATGGTCCACCAACTTGTTTCCCGGAAGAATGGCCGTAAAACTTTGTAACGTCAGAGTTTCCATTGGACTATCCTCTCAAGTGATGCTTCCATTGAACTAATTGTATCCAGTTGTATCCAGTATTGTGGAAACGTTCCTTGGCCTCTCCACTTCTGCACTCGCTCGGGAATCTTCATGTGTCATGTCATGCTCTGTTTGTGGATAGGACAGGATAGATAGATACTGCGGGGATGGTCAAAAATGAGAAGCATAGATCAACTGGTCAGTTGGCTTTGGTGTGGTCAGCATCCAATTCTTCGTATTTTATTTAAGACAGACAACAAGACAACAAGCATATCGCAGAGATTCTCAGAGTACCTTTACGTGTTCCATTTTCTAGGGCTTGTTTCAAGTTTACTGGCAGCCGTTGGTAGATGTGGACCCCTGACATCTGGGGACTTGACCCAGGAAAGCTTTCAGATGGTGGAGAAAGAAAGAGATGCAGCAGACGCGCGGGCAGCAGAGTTGGAAGCGATGGTGAAACGTCTGCAGTCCCAAGTCTCAAGTTTCGCGCAAGTTGTGAAGGACACTGTCCCGGATCAGGACGAAGTCGAGGAGCCCACCGAAAACAATGAAAATGGAGGCGATGTTGCAGAGGCGGAAGCACCAAAGGACGAATTGACCGCAGAAACAGCTGCAGCACCTGCTGAGGAGCCAGCAGCAGCAAAGGAAGAGGTTGCCGAAGCAACTGAAGAAGCCGCAGCCGCTGAGGAGCCAGCACCAACGGAAGAGGTTGCCAAAGAGACAGCTGCAGCACCTGCTGAGGAGCCGGCAGCAGCAAAGGAAGAGGTTGCCGAAGAAACAGCTGCAGCACCTGCTGAGGAGCCAGCAGCACCAGAGGCAGAGGCAGCCGAAGCAACTGAAGAAGCCGCAGCCGCTGAGGAGCCAGCACCAACGGAAGAGGTTGCCAAAGAGACAGCTGCAGCACCTGCTGAGGAGCCGGCAGCAGCAAAGGAAGAGGTTGCCGAAGAAACAGCTGCAGCACCTGCTGAGGAACCAGCAGCACCAGAAGAAGAGGCAGCCGAAGCAACTGAAGAAGCCGCAGCCGCTGAGGAGCCAGCACCAACGGAAGAGGTTGCCAAAGAGACAGCTGCAGCACCTGCTGGGGAGCCAGCAGCAGCAAAGGAAGAGGTTGCCGAAGAAACAGCTGCAGCACCTGCTGAAGAGCCAGCAGCACCAGAAGAAGAGGCAGCCGAAGCAACGGAAGAAGCCGCAGCCGCTGAGGAGCCGGCACCCAAGGAAGAGGTTGCAGAAGAGACAGCTGCAGCACCTGCTGAGGAGCCAGCAGCAACGGAAGAGGTTGCCAAAGAGACAGCTGCAGCACCTGCTGGGGAGCCAGCAGCAGCAAAGGAAGAGGTTGCCGAAGAAACAGCTGCAGCACCTGCTGAAGAGCCAGCAGCACCAGAAGAAGAGGCAGCCGAAGCAACGGAAGAAGCCGCAGCCGCTGAGGAGCCGGCACCCAAGGAAGAGGTTGCAGAAGAGACAGCTGCAGCACCTGCTGAGGAGCCAGCAGCAGCAAATGAAGAGGTTGCGGAAGAAACAGCTGCAGCATCTGCTGAGGAGCCAGCAGCAGCAAGGGAAGAGGTTGCCGAAGAAACAGCTGCAGCACCTGCTGAGGAGCCAGCAGCACCAGAAGAAGAGGCAGCCGAAGCAACGGAAGAAGCCGCAGCTGCTGAGGAGCCAGCACCCAAGGAAGAGGTTGCCGAAGAAACAGCTGCAGCACCTGCTGAGGAGCCAGCAGCAAAAAAGGAAGAGGTTGCCGAAGAAACAGAAAGACGCAAGAAGAACGAAGAAAGAAAAGAAAAGCAAACAGCTGCAGCACCTGCTGAGGAGCCAGCAGCACCAGAGGAAGAGGCAACCGAAGCAACCGAAGCACCAACGGAAGAGGTTGCCGAAGAAACAGCTGCAGCACCTGCTGAGGAGCCAGCAGCAGTAAAGGAAGAGGTTGCCGAAGAAGCAGCTGCAGCACCTGCTGAGGAGCCAGCAGCACCAGCCGCTGAAGAGCCAGCGCCAAAGGAAGAGGTTGCCAAAGAGACAGCTGCAGCACCTGCTGAGGAGCCAGCAGCAGCAAAGGAAGAGGTTGCCGAAGAAACAGCTGCAGCACCTGCTGAGGAGCCAGCAGCAGAAAAGGAAGAGGTTGCCGAAGAAACAGCTGCAGCACCTGCTGAGGAGCCAGCAGCTTCAGAAGAAGAGGCAGCCGAAGCAACGGAAGAAGCCGCAGCCGCTGAGGAGCCAGCACCAACGGAAGAGGTTGCCGAAGAGACAGCTGCAGCACCTGCTGAGGAGCCAGCAGCAGCAAAGGAAGAGGTTGCCGAAGAAACAGCTGCAGCACCTGCTGAGGAGCCAGCAGCACCAGAAGAAGAGGCAGCCGAAGCAACTGAAGAAGCTGCAGCCGCTGAGGAGCCAGCAGCAGTGAAGGAAGAGATTGCCGAAGAAACAGCTGCAGCACCTGCTGAGGAGCCAGCAGCACCGAAGGAAGAGGCAACGGAAACAACGGAAGAAGCTGCAGCCGCTGAGAGGCAAGCAGAAGCAAAGGAAGAGGTTGCCGAAGAAACAACTGCAGCACCGGCTGAGGAGCCAGCAGCACCACAGGAAGAGGCAGCCGAAGCAACGGAAGAAGCCGCAGCGAATGAGGAGCCAGCACCAAAGGAAGAGGTTGCCGAAGAAACAGCTGCAGCCGCTGCTGAGGAGCTAGCAGCGCCAGAAGAGGAGGCAGCCGAAGCAACGGAAGAAGCCGCAGCCGCTGAGGAGCCAGCAGCACCAGAGGAAGAGGCAGCCGAAAAAACAGCTGCAGCACCTGCTGAGGAGCCAGCAGCACCAAAGGAAGAGGCAGCCGAAGCAACGCAAGAAGCTGCAGCACCTGCTGAGGAGCCAGCACCAAAGGAAGAGGTTGCTGAAGATGCAGCTGCAGCACCTGCTGAGGGGCCAGCAGCACCAAAGGAAGCTGCAGCACCTGCTGAGGAGCCAGCTGCAACAAAGGGAGAAGCTGCCGAAGCAACAGATGCAGCACCTTCTGAGGAGCCAGGAGCGCCAAAGGAAGAGGCCGAACCTACAGAAGCAGCTGCTGCACCAGCCAAAGAGCCAGCAGGGCCCAAGGATGGAACAGTTTACACACTGCTTCAAAAGGCCCCCCCGCAGGCAGGGCATTGGGGGCCGAATTTGCCATGGCAAGCTCAGATGGGTTTTTCAAGTTCGTTTGATTTCAGCTGTAGGGTATCTAGATTTTGTGTCAGCTACTCCTCCTGTTCCTCCTCCGCCTCCCTTCCCCCCTTGTAACCACACGGGCTGTGCATGCGCGTGCTCCGCCACACCTCCTTGTGAATTCCACGTGCCCAGCCAAGCCTTACGCCCTGCCAAGCCTTTTGCCGGACCCGACCGCGGAATACCTTATTTCTTTTCTTTGGGGATGCCAGGCATGCCAGAATACATGTCAGAATACATGTCATAATTTCTGCTAGGTTGTTTGTCAGAACCTGTGTCTCCGCTGATGGCAGCATAGATGGCAGAACTTTTGTCAGGCTATAAATCTGGCAGAAAACCCGCCTGGCCACTATAAGTATCCTGCACCAACACTTAAATCAAATAGTATTTGTCAGAGTTCATCTCCAGATATTTGTCAGGAATTGCGTCGCTTTTCTCAACATACATGTCAAAACTGACGGACTTCTCACCACATGTCAGAATACATGTCAAAGCGTTTGCCACATAGCATGCTGGAAATGGCGCGGGGACAAATGCCAGTAGATATTGAAGAATTGTTTGTCGGGAAATATGCCCGGCTTCATTTCATTTCTCAGACAATATGCCAAGGCTCATGTCAGGCGTGTTGCGGGAATTTATGTCGGCACTAGTGTCTCAGAATATGTCTGGACACGAGCCAGATATACGCAAGATTTTGGCCAAAAGTTCCTACGAAGGGTTCCTTGAAGAGAGCGACTGCCAATCATCATCACCATCATCATCATCATCATCATCGTCCTCGTCCTCGTCCTCGTCCTCGTCCTCGTCCTCTCCTCGTCCTCGTCCTCCTCATCATCACCATTACCATCATCATCGTCATCGCCATGGTGACCGTCATCGTCATCATCAACATTATCAACATTATCAACCATTTCACATCTACAGTTTCAAGTTTGCAGATGTATAGATACAGTTTCACAGGTGTAGAAAACACCTGCGCATCTACAACTGCATAGATGAAGATGTATAGGTACAGGTGCCAGATGTAGATGAAAACATCTACACATCCGCAACTGTACATGCACATGTCCAGACATGGGTGTAAAGGTGTAGGGGCAAAGATGCAGGTGCATGGAGCTAGGTGAAAACACCGACACATCTTGAGCACGTGCCGATTGTCAAAAAGAGGTAAAACTAGTTAAGAGATCCCATAGCTGCGTACCCATATTGGGGCGAGAAAAACCCGGCAAGAGACCCCAAACAATGCGGTGGGAGCGGGCGGATAATGTAGGATCATGTTAAGGATGATGACGGTGATGAGGAGAAGGAGGGCGATGATGATGATGATGATGATGATGCTGTTGCTGTTGATGATGATGATGATGATGATGAGGAGGAGGAGGATGAGGAGGAGGAGGGGGGGGAGGGGGAACAGGAGGAGGAGGAGAAGGAGGGCGTAGAGGATAATGATGTTGAGGATGATGAGGAGCAGGAGGATGATGTTGGGGATGATGAGGTTGACGATGATAATGTTAAGAGGGCTGATAATGTTGAGGGGGATGACGATGAGGATTATAATGTGGAAGATGTAGTTGAGGATGAGAAGGGGGAGAAGGATGTTGAGAAGAAGGAGAAGGATGTTGAGAAGAAGGCAAATGATGACGTGCAGGATGAGAATGTTGAGGGGGAGGATGAAAAGGATAATAAAGTTGCGGAAGATGAGGTGGAGGAGGATGATGCTGCGGAAGAGGAGGTGGAGGATGATGATGTTGAGAATGATGGTGTCGAGGGGGAGGGAGATGATGATGTTGAGAATGACGATGTTGAGGATGATGCTGGTGAGGCTGATGAGGTGCAGAGGAGGAGGATGTTGAGGATGATGATGTCAAGCGGGAGGAAGAAGATGATGTTGAGAATGATGATGTTGAGCGGGAGGAAGATGATGACACTGAGGGTGCTGATGCGGAGGCGGAGGAGGAGGAGGAGGACCGATCCCAAGACCGCGCTGCATGTTGTGTGCGAGCCTGCGCAGTTGAAATGCACTTCAACATGTCACAAGAGCCGCTTTAGACGGAAATTTACAGGAAAAATGCCGCGCCCCAGAAGCTAGACCACACTTTGCGTGAGCCTGCGCAGTCGAAATGCATTTCAACATGTCACAAGAGCCTCTTTTTACGGAAATTTACAAGAAAAATGCCGGCACCCAGCTGGAGCACCCTGATCAAGCACCGGCCTTTGCTCCTATCGTAAAATCCCTCAGTGTGGACACACTGTTTAGGGAATTGGGCTCAACACGACCTCTTTTGATCTGATGCCAGGCTCCATGTCAACTCTGTCTTGGCTCACTTGGACGGGCAAGTTTTTGGCCGAGCATTTGGCGCTAACAGCATATCCAAAAGGCATGTATTGGGAATGTTGGCCCTCTATTGGGCCTCTATTGGGCCATGTTGTGCCTATTTGGGCTATGTTGGGTCTATCTTGGGCGATTCGGAAGCGATGTCAGGCAAGTCTTGGGCCAAAGCTTTCGCGCTAAAAACTACATAATTCTTAGCGCGAAAGAAACAAGCTTCAAACAGCCTATTTTCTGTTAATGTTGAGCTCATGCTATTTGGGCTATGTTGGGTCTATCTTGGGCAATTTGGAAGCGATGTCAGGCGAGTCTTGGGCCAAAGCTTTCGCGCTAAAAACTACATAATTCTTAGTGCGAAAGAAACAAGCTTCAAACAGCCTATTTTTCTGTTAATGTTGAGCTCATGCTATTTGGGCTATGTTGGGTCTATCTTGGGCAATTTGGAAGCGATGTCAGGCAAGTCTTGGGCCAAAGCTTTTGAAAAAAAAACTACATAATTCTTAGTGCGAAAGAAACAAGCTTCAAACAGCCTATACTCTGTTAATGTTGAGCTCATGTTATTTGGGCTATGTTGGGTCTATTTGGGCTATGTTGGGTCTATCTTGGGCGATTCGGAAGCGATGTCAGGCAAGTCTTGGGCCAAAGCTTTCGCGCTAAAAACTACATAATTCTTAGTGCGAAAGAAACAAGCTTCAAACAGCCTATTTTCTGTTAATGTTGAGCTCATGCTATTTGGGCTATGTTGGGTCTATCTTGGGCAATTTGGAAGCGGTGTCAGGCAAGTCTTGGGCCAAAGCTTTCGCGCTAAGAACTACATATTTTTTAGCGCCGAAAAGAAAGCCTTCAAACAGCTCATACTGGGTTAATGTTGAGCTTATGTTGGGCCTCTATTGGGCCATGTTTGGCCGATGTCTCCTACTGGATTTGTCTTTACTGATGCGTTCGGGTCCGTGGATTCTATGAGCTTTGCCATCTACTTTGTTGGCCTCGGACTTGGAATCCGTGGCCTGTTTCCCGGATGCGTAGCACAGGCTCCCGTTTCACTCTGCATGGGGGGTTGTGGGTTGAAGGTGTGCTCGCCAGACGTTGCGCAACCGTCCGCAACCATCCGCGTGAGGGCCGTATGGCGGTGCTTCAGGCGAGTTCTGCAAAAGCGATCACTTTTTGGAGGCTTCAAACATCGCATAGCCTCGTTTCGCGTGGCAGACATGGCACTTTGTGACATGCAAACATGTTTCATAACATGTCGAAAGTCGCTTTTTGTGACATGCACAATACTTCTGCGTCGTTTTCAGATTTTTTCGGGGCAGGCGCAGCACTTTGGTGATCTCCATGGTCATTTTGCGTGGCAGGCGCTGCACTTGGACATGACGTGTTAATGTCTTTTGCGAATCGCATTGTCAGGGCTGTGCAAATTGCGTGGCAGGCGCTTGATATTGTGAGAGTGTCATTTTGCCATTTTCCGAGGCAGTCGCAGTATTTGGGACACTTTACACTTTACACTCCACACTCTATACTCTAGACTTTACACCCCACACTTCACCTTTTACTCTTGCCACTCCCCCCTCTACACTTTCCACTCTACACTCTACACTTCGCACTTTACACTCCGCATTCCACGGTCTACACTTGGCTCTTTACACTTTACGCTCAACACGCTGCACTTTACACTCCACACTCTAAATTCTACACTTTCCACTTTACACCCCACACGCTACACTTTACACTTCAAACTTCACACTTTCCACTTTGACTTCGCACTCTACACTTTACACTTTAGACTTGACACTCCACACTCTACACTTTACACTTTGCACACTCCACACTCTACACTTCACACTCCGGACTCTATACCTTTAACACTTTACACTTTACACATCATACTTTACACTTGACAGTCCACCATCTGTACCATTAACATACACGTGAGCATTCGGGTTCGTGGGTTGCATCTTGTTTTTTGCCTGCTTGCAACGTTGGATGGGCGGCTGTTTTGTGGTAGTTTTCAAAGCAAAAATGTTCAAACACATCCAACGACCTCCGCCCCATGCCTAATGGAGGGGGTGAATAGAAGACACTGTTACTGGTGATGCTGCTTACAAAGGGTATGGGTTTGGCGTTCCTATTGACATGCGCCAGGACAAGAAAGTGACATCGTACGCCGATGAGGATGCCTCAACGGCAGAAGGCACTCCACAAGGTTTGTTGGAGGAAGAGAGATTGCCCAACGAAGCTGCGGCCAAAGTTCCCCGGCATTTGCAACTGCTGCAGTGCGCCATGGGCGGTAAGGGGGACCGATCATGCTGTGAAACGAAAATTAACCCCCGTTTTTTTGGTACCGACCCCGGGC